CACTTCTGTATTGACAGGGACACAATAGGAATGTAAATACACCCTTTGTGTGTATTTGTAAGCACATAGTACACTTACTAGGTCAGATACAGTAAATACATTTCATGTAGATTGTGACATAAATACACTACGTATTAGATTATCATCAGTCAAGTATGAGAAAGTGCACAAATGATTTGTAATCTATATCATCAGTACATATAGGTACGGGGTACCAAAGTATATGGAAATTCTACCCAATGTTGTAGAACTTTGCATTAGAACTGATGAAGCATTTCCTAGTGAGGATTTAGGTACAAAAGGACCCGGAGGGATCTTGCAGCTGTCAATTGTAAGATCTTACTTACTTTTATTTAAGTTCGTTCCTTTCTCTTATTCTTTTGGATAGATAGTTATGACGATAGCAAAAATCTTCAAACTGCTGTGTGTCTTTTTCAAAGTGAGGTTGTTGTTTGACCTTATAACTAAAATAGTAACGTCTAAAAATATCTGAACAAAGCAAACTTTGATTCCAGGCAGCCATATTATTCTTCTGATCAAACAGCTTGGAGCTCAAAATGAAAATTGACAAACTACAGAACAGGAGGAATCTCCTTAAGACATTTGCAAGTCCTGGGTGAGGACAGAAGCTGAGGAAATCTTTAGTGTTGTGTAAAGGCCACGTGACATTGGGGATATCTGGGTGAGGACAGAAGCCGAGGAAATCTTCAGTGTTGTGTAAAGGCCACGTGACATTGGGAATATCTGGGTGAGGACAGAAGCTGAGGAAATCTTCAGTGTTGTGTAAAGGCCATGTGACACATCCATTATATGTAGGTATTGGGGATATCTGGGTGAGGACAGAAGCTGAGGAAATCTTCAGTGTTGTGTAAAGGCCACGTGACACCTTCACTTTAGGGATGATATAAGATTGACTGTGACATCAACATACAAATCAAGGCCATCTTTAACTGTGATGTCCATACTAAACGTTTTGACAGATCTCTGGCAATTCCTTGCCATTTCTCAAGGGTGTCTTGTAGAATATCATGTACGGTGGATTTTTCTGATACTTTTTTCTACAAAATCTTTCTACAATGTGTTTCGGTTTGAGAACTGAATTTTTTCCAACACAGGCAAGGTTAGTTTAATATTTAAGTACCTCTGGAAATAATTATTTAGTTATCAAATTAATCATTGACATACACAGAAAAACAAAAAAACAAAGAAGTATTGCCGACTCAATTTCATAAAAAACATAGGTTGTGGAAATACTCTAGTTTGAAGTCATGATTAGGTTGTACCAAAACATGAAAAAGTAAGTTTGAAGATCCTGTATGTAATAATGATTAATGAAGGTCAAAGGTAAACAAGAGGCCCATGGGCCTGACGATCACTTGAACGAGTCTCTAAGCTTTACCAGGTCAGTGTCAGGCCAGAGACCCCACTAAGACACCCACTGGGCTACTGAGATAAGGCTAGTCAGTGTCAGGCCAGAGACCCCACTGAGACACCCACTGGGCTACTGAGATAAGGCTATAGTCAGTGTCAGGCCAGAGACCCCACTGAGACACACACTGGGCTACTGAGATAAGGCTAGTCAATGTCAGGCCAGAGACCCCACTGAGACACCCACTGGGCTACTGAGATAACGCTATAGTCAGTGTCAGGCCAGAGACCCCACTGAGACACCCACTGGGCTGCTGAGATAAGGCTAGTCAGTGTCAGGCCAGAGACCCCACTGAGACACACACTGGGCTACTGAGATAAGGCTAGTCAGTGTCAGGCCAGGGACCCCACTGAGACACCCACTGGGCTACTGAGATAACGCTATAGTCAGTGTCAGGCCAGAGACCCCACTGAGACACACACTGGGCTACTGAGATAAGGCTAGTCAATGTCAGGCCACAGACCCCACTGAGACACCCACTGGGCTACTGAGATAAGGTTATAGTCAGTGTCAGGCCAGAGACCCCACTGAGACCCACACTGGGCTACTGAGATAAGGCTAGTCAATGTCAGGCCAGAGACCCCACTGAGTCCCCCACTGGGCTACTGAGATAAGGCTATAGTCAGTGTCAGGCCAGAGACCCCCCTGAGACACCCACTGGGCTACTGAGATAAGGCTAGCCAGTGTCAGGCCAGAGACCCCACTGAGACACCCACTGGGCTACTGAGATAAGGCTAGTCAGTGTCAGGCCAGAGACCCCACTAAGACACCCACTGGGCTACTGAGATAAGGCTCTCAGAAACCATTTATTGAATAGTGTTATAAACATGGATGTTAATGTTGTAGTAATAAATGGAAAAAAAAATGTAGTTTTATAGTTTCTTTTTCACATTGTCAACAATCGAGCAGTTTTGAAGTGACATAGATTTCTTCGGGAAGGTGCTTGATTTTGGTTAATAATTATAGATTTCATCAATATATAAAATTGTGTTATTGATTTATATCATTACAAGTTATTAATACCATTTATATAGACTGGTTTATATATTTTGTGTATGATTTTTGGTTTAAGTAGTATATATGTACAAGTGCAAAGTTAGAAACACGTCTTTGTAAATATAGAGGGGGGTACACGAGGAGGGTTCTTCAGACACATGCATGCCTGACCATCTACTCCTCCCTACACTGACCTGTTCTTTTTTTTAAAACTAACAGTCACCTTGACCTTGGAAACTTTTAAAAACCCAATACACATCTAATTATCATAATAGTCTTTCTGAATCTGTGATGATGGCTATATACCCTTTGGTCTAATTTTAGCTACAGTGACCTTGATCTTGACCTTAGCAACATTTAAAAGCCCTATTACACGTAAACTTATCATAGTGTATCACAATTTCAAATTTCAAATAGATTAGCCATTTGATTTCTGAGATGATCTCAGAAAATTGGAAATGAAATTGTGGACACGCATGGCAGAGACAATAGAACCTTGGTAATAACTGATACTCAAGGTAATCTAAGGAACAAGATCATATAGAGTACCTAAGTAACAACTTATCTGATTCTCAAGGTAATCTAAGGAACAAGATCACATAGTACCTTAGTAACAACTTATCTGATACTCAAGGTAATCTAAGGAACAAGATCATATAGAGTACCTAAGTAACAACTTATCTGATACTCAAGGTAATCTAAGGAACAAGATCATATATAGTACCTTAGTAACAACTTATCATGGTAACACAGTACATCTTCAGCACACACACAGGCATACACACATAGGGAGATATTAGCCAGGTGGCATAGGACTGGTAGTTAGTGTGCGCATGCCTGATAAGGCAGCTCCTTCAAATTCCTCAAAATTGTAGTGATTAATGTATATGCTTATTGTACTGATTGTATTAAATTGTATATCTATGTACTGTAAAGTGCTTAAGAGTGGCTTATTCTAGCTAGATAGGGTGCTATATCACATGTTGTATATTATCATCATTATTTAGAGTGGCTTATTCTAGCTAGATAGGGCGCTATATCACATGTTGTATATTATTATCATTATTTAGAGTGGCTTATTCTAGCTAGATAGGGCCCTATATCACATGTTGTATATTATTATCATTATTATTAACATCTAAGACCCCAGAGACCCTTATTAACAACTGATATCAAAAAGTTATCTTAATTAAAAGACCCCAAAGTACATTAGTAGCAACTTATTCCATCGTCAATTTAAGGAACAAGACCCCAGAGTACTTCAGCAAGAGAAATCCAATGAGCAGTGTGAACTTTGTCTATAGCCTAATTACATTGTAGGACAGCACTCTCAACTAAGGTTATGGACAATGGTAATCTCAGCATAATTTGTTGCAAATTGGGTTTTTTTATGTCGTGTCTGGGAGTTTCTGGGAGTTTCTGGGAACATTATCCTGTCCGATCTGGTAACAAATCAATTTCAGTCTTCATCACCTGAGGATTAGAACTGATTTAATACTTCTTACGTAGGTACACAGGCACTTGTTCGTCTCAACAATTACCAAGAAATGTAATACTATACAACAGGCCTCAATGATAACCAAGAAATGTAATACTATACAACAACAGGCATCAATGATGACCAAGAAATGTAATACTATACAACAACAGGCGTCAATGATAACCAAGAAATGTAATACTATACAACAGGCCTCAATGATAATCAAGAAATGTAATACTATATAACAACAGGCCTCAATGATAACCAATAAATGTAATACTGTACAACAACAGGCCTCAATGATAACCAAGAAATATAATACTATACAACAACAGGCCTCAATGATAACCAAGAAATGTAATACTGTACAACAACAGGCCTCAATGATAACCAAGAAATGTAATACTGTAAAACTGTAAAACTGTGATCTTGAATATAATTGAAGGTCATTAATTTTAACAGACTTTGTAGCCCTTCATCCCAGTCTGCTTCTGGCCAAATTTCATCACCCTAGGCCTTTCGGTTATTAAGAAGAATGACGGACGCCGCGCCACGGCATAAGCTCACTTGGCACTACGTGCCAGGTGAGCTAAAAATATTAATTTTTCATTATTTTTTAAGAATATTTCTACAGATCAATGAAGAATGTCATTCCAATGAATTTGATGTCTTTAGTGTTTCTGTAACATTTACCGTTAACATTGTACGCCATTTGGAATATTTCCTTTGATCTTTTAAAAATTTCGCAATATTTTAAAACTTGTTTTACTCCAATACCAATGACAAATATTTTGTTTAGTTGTTACGAAAAAGGTTTCCCCAGCGGTCCTCTAACTTATGGTAACATTTTCAACTTTATCAAAAAACAAAATGGCCACCATGACGTCATATCCATTTTTTTCTTTATTTTTTTTCTTTAATTGCTATACCTCACTAACGGGTGAATATATTTAATTCATCTTTGGATATGTTGTGCAGAATAAAAAATAAATGATTTTTCTCAGGAAACATTTTTTTGTCAAAGGTCAACTTCCGATTTTCGGAAAAAGCCATATTATTTACCTAATCTAACATCCACCTTTTTTCCCATTTTAGATAATGGCGGAATGTTTGAACAAGAGCCTTGATAATGTAACGGCGCCGGTGACAACACTGTCGGCAGAAGCCATATTGGAAAAAACGTTTGACCACATTTTCATGGAGGTGGGAGTTCCAACAGTGTGTGCCTTCGGACTCGTAGGCAACGTGCTAAACCTGATGGTGCTGACGCGTGAAAAAATCCACTGCACCCTGACGAAGATGGAGAAGTCGGCCCACATCGGACTGATCGCTCTGGCAGTCTCCGATTTTATGTTTTGTTTTTTGGCACTCATGTTCACCATCCTGCCACTAGAGGGAGTGTACAAGGATGTATCCCCGGTTCTGTATTATCACTGGCTCGGGCCGAGCTTCATCACCATCTTCATCATCACTAGCACCTGGCTCATTGTTGTCATGGCAGGAGAACGATATCTCGCTGTCTGTCATCCTTTTAAAGCCAGAAAGATCATCTCCTTAAAGCGAACGAGGATCACCATCTCACTCGTCTATACTGTGTGTATAATGCTTTCACTTCCACTGTTTTTTGAAAATGTTATCACAGAAACAAGGTGCTTCAACAACAGTTTTCGATACAAAATTGAAAGTCGAAGTGAGTTTGGAGATGAATTTGTTCCCATTCGTCGTATGATATGGGCAGTTCTGTTTGATTTCCTTCCAAGTGCTGCCTTGTTGTATTTCAACATCTGTTTAATCTGGAAAATCCACAAAGCAAAAAAGATCCGGCGTGAAATGGCTCCGGGTCAGAGTAAGGACATGGTGATATACCGTCACGGCCGCGAGAATACATCAACACACACAGAACGGGACTACACACAGCTTCAGTCTATGGTTCACAATAAATCTACCGTTGTTACACGACATAACGGCCATTCCTATAACATCACAACAGTCAAGAAAGTGCCTGGAAAACCACATTTCAAATGTCGTTTTGCAAATGCCAAGTTGAAGAAACGTCATTCCGAAAGCGCCCTGAATAGTGTCACAGCAACCCTTGTGGCTGTCGTTGTTTTGTTCCTCGTACTCGTATCTCCCTCAGAGGTGTTAAAATTCACATACGCTAAACTCAATGAGGGCAAGGTTGGACCAAAATACACCAGTAAGATGATAACTTACGTAACAAATTTCATGCAAGCGCTCAATTTCTCCTTCAACTTTGTGCTGTACTGTGCCGTAAACAAGTCTTTCCGCGATACTCTGGCCAGTATCTTTTGTTTCTGCTCAATTCGTAATTTCAATGATCCTGCCACAACCAGACTTCATCAATCCACAGATGTACATGAGCTGTCGTAGACGTAAAAGTCAGACACAGAACTTGATTTAATATTGAAGGCTTGTAAATGTGGTGTATCCAGTTTACACACAGTTCTGTTTAATCCAGAAACCTGTTTTTACCAAACCCTGTTTAATCCAGAAACCTGTTTTTACCAAACCCTGTTTAATCCAGAAACCTGTTTTTACCAAACCCTGTTTAATCCAGAAACCTGTTTTTACCAAACCCTGTTTAATTTGAAATCCTGAAGTCATACTGTACATACTGTGTAATCAAAAAACCTATGTATTAAGTACAGTTTGTACCTGATTACCACATCAATCTAGCTTCAGTTTCATGTTAAAGATTCCTTACTTTCCCTTGGATAACTTTTCTCATCTCTTCCTAGTCAATTTTCTTATATTACAATAATTAAGTTCAATTTATAATGAAATGCATATATCGAAATAGATATAGGCATCATATAAAAAAACAGGCAGGGGAGATAATTTGAAGTGTTTTAGGACAGGTGCTCTCTTAATTTAGGCTCAACAAATTAGACGGTAAAGTCAAAACACATTCAAAATTTGTTTCTGCATTAAATACAGACATCACGTTTGTCACTAAGATTAAGCAATGCCTGACAATATGGAGCGTATGACAGTCAATAGCATGTTGTCTGTCAGACATCAGATCACACATTGCCACACAACATGTGATCAAATGTGTGACAACACAGGCTTTAAAACATAAAGACAAGATGCATAGCACTGCTTCCAGACACTCACTTAGGAGACACACCGTCGAGCTCCAGTGAAAAGGAACACAGTCTATTGCAAGACAAGTTTATTCAAATCCAAGGTAAAAAAATATTCTGAAGGCTGTTTGCTGACAATATCCAAGGTCTTGGTAAAATGTTTCATCCCCTTGGTTTAAACAATCTAACCTGTTTACTAAACAAGAGGCCCAGAGAGCCTGTATCGCTCACCTGAATATGTTTAAAATAATTGGTATGAAGTAAACATATAGCACTCCATGGTAGGTGCTGTAAGCAAGCGAGAACAAACTTCAAACAGAGCCTCACCCCTTTGCCCCTAGGGGGGTCATACCCACCAATTATACAAAATGGAGACCCCTTGGCCCAAGAATGCTTCCGACTAAATAAGGAGCCAGACCCACCATTTATACAAAATTGAGTCCCCTTGGGCCAAGGATGTTCCAGACTAAATTAGGATAAAATCCCTTAATCCCTACGGTAGAAGAAGGATTTTAAAGGTTTTATCTCTATTTCCCCTATTGGGCCCGCCCCTCTGGCCCCAGGGGGGTCACACCCACCATTTATACATTCGGACCAGGTGAGCTAATAAAACAAACACTGTGATTAAATTATTTAACTAATCTAATTCTGCAAAACTAAACGCTGATCCATTTATTTTTTCAAGCACATCATTTATCACTGCTGACTTTTTACAACTGAATATACTCAGAGTTATTCCCCTTGCTTTATAAAGATAAGTTGAATTAATCTATTGTCTTGTTGTCACCATTATTGTTCATTACTTATTTCAGTCAAGTGAGAATTTTAAGTCAGCAGGGTCTTACTAAAGCTAAAACTATGTATATCAGATATATAAATAGGGTTCATACTGAATAAATATAAATAAGGTTCATACTGATATAAATAAATCGGGTTCATACTGATATATATAAATAATGTTCATACTGATATAAATAAACAGGGTTCGTACTGATATATATAAATAAGGTTCATACTGATATAAATAAACAGGGTTCGTACTGATATATATATCAATAGGGTTCAATCGGTATGCTGCTTTATTTGTTGTTATGAACTCATAGAGAGAATGATAGTAAAGATGTATAGTGAAATACCTTTTGATATGCTATAAAATTCCAACCCATCAGGTTGTCAAATATATTGGACCCATGAGATTTCTCTGCGTGGAGACACGATTGTAAAATATACCGGGGCCATGAGGTTTCTCTGTGTGGATACAAGATTGTATAATATACCGGGTCATAATATTTCTCTGTGAGGATACAAGATTGTAAAATATATTGAGGCCATGAGGTTTCTCTCTGTGGATACAAGATTGTAAAATATACCGGGGCCATGAGATTTCTCTGCATGGATACAAGATTGTAAAATATAACGGGGCCATGAGATTTCTCTGCATGGATGCACAATTAGTGTACCTTAAGATAGGTAGTATAGAATTACCTGTGTCTAGATGTGTACAGTAAATACACAATTATGATATGTAAATGTCAAATTAACAAACTGATATATATAGTTTGGCTCTTATCTTACAGTAGTTAATGCTTTCATAAGTGGTATTTATGAGGTTTCATTCATCATGAATCACAATTTTCTTCAAATCACAGCATATCATACCCGTTTATGTCATAAGATACATTTTAAGTTATAGGTATACATTATTTGCATTAGTTGATAAAAATTTCATAGATGGTGCCTTTATATTTGCTTACTTTTTCATTTAGACTATCCTCATCCATTTGTTCCACTACAAACCACTAATCCATCTTCCTGGTTGTCATATTAGTCAAACACACTCATAACAGACAGAATAAAAACTTTTAAGCAAAATAGTATGGTTGACCTGAATATTATAACATTACTTATAGCATTAGGGGAACATGATCTGTAACAGAACTGTTATAACATTACCTATAGCATTAGGGGAGCATGATCTGTAACAGCACTGTTATAACATTCCCTATAGCATTAGGGGAACATGATCTGTACCAGCACTGTTATAACATTACTTATAGCATTAGGGGAACATGATCTCTAACAGCACTGTTATAACATTACTTATAGCATTAGGTGAACATGATCTGTAACAGCACTGTTATAACATTCCCTATAGCATTAGGGGAACATGATCTGTACCAGCACTGTTATAACATTACTTATAGCATTAGGGGAGCATGATCTGTAACAGCACTGTTATAACATTCCCTATAGCATTAGGGGAACATGATCTGTACCAGCACTGTTATAACATTACTTATAGCATTAGGGGAGCATGATCTGTAACAGCACTGTTATAACATTAATTATAGCATTAGGGGAACATGATCTGTAAAAGCACTGTTATAACATTACCTATAGCATTAGGGGAACATTATCTGTAACAGCACTGTTATAACATTACCTAAAGCATTAGGGGAACATGATCTGTAACAGCACTGTTATAACATTCCCTATAGCATTAGGGGAACATGATCTGTACCAGCACTGTTATAACATTACTTATAGCATTAGGGGAACATGATCTTTAACAGCACTGTTATAACATTACCTATAGCATTAGGGGAACATGATCTGTAACAGCACTGTTATAACATTACTTATAGCATTAGGGGAACACGATCTGTAACAGCACTGTTATAACACAAGAACAAAAAAGACTTCCAATATCATAAAGAAAGCATATATATGGGGAACGTAAATCAGCACTAATAATGTAATGTAAACATAAATTTCAACAAAAGACATCAAGAGAACAAAAACCAAGATCAATCTTACAAGGGAAATATTATAATCACCGCTAATAACCATCTCGCGCTCAGAGAAACATAAATTACAGCTCATAACAATCTAATGTTTAGGGGAACATAAATCAAAGCTAATAACAGTCGGATGCTGAGGGGAACATAAATCATAGTTAATAACAGTCGGATGCTGAGCAGAAAATAAATCATAGCTAATAACAGTCTCATGCTTAGGGGAACATAAATCAAAGCTAATAACAGTCTGATGCTGAGCGGAAAATAAATCATAAAGAGTAACAGTCTGATGCTGAGGGGAACATAAATCATAGCTTTTAACAGTCGGACGTTTAGGGGAACATAAATCATAGCTTATAACAGTCTAATGCTGAGGGGAACATAAATCATAGCTAATAACGGTCTGATGCTGAGGGGAACATAAATCATAGCTAATAACAGTCGGATCCTGAGGGGAACATAAATCATAGCTAATAACAGTCGGATGCTGAGGGGAACATAAATCATAGCTAATAACAGTCGGATGCTGAGAGGAACATAAATCATAGCTAATAACAGTCTCATGCTTAGGGGAACATAAATCAAAGCTTATAACAGTCTGATGCTGAGCAGAAAATAAATCATAGCTAATAACAGTCTCTTGCTTAGGGGAACATAAATCAAAGCTAATAACAGTCTGATGCTGAGCGGAAAATAAATCATAGCGAGTAACAGTCTGATGCTGAGGGGAACATAAATCATAGCTTTTAACAGTCGGACGTTTAGGGGAACATAAATCATAGCTTATAACAGTCTGATGCTGAGGGGACCATAAATCATAGCTAATAACAGTCGGATCCTGAGGGGAACATAAATCATAGCTAATAACAGTTTCATGCTTATGTTTATACACAACAAAAAACGATGAAACAACAGTTTACCTGTTTATTACAATTGGAGATATTTAAATGAGGCAGATAGCAAGATAAAAGAAAATACAAACTTATACTTTGGCGTATCAGGGGCTACTCACTCAAACACAATAAGCTAACTATATACAATACTACAAAAACAAACATGTACTGACGAGGTAGCCTTCTAAGCAAAGAAAGAGGCCACAAGGAAAAACAAAAAATATCTTCTCAGCAATATATTTTAAGTAGGCCAGACAACTAACTCTTGAGCGATTCAAGACAGGCCGAATGTAAATATCTAGTGAAAGTTCTTGAGCGATTCAAGACAGTATACATGTAGATATCTAGAGCAAACCCTTGGGCGATTCAAGAGCTGCATATAAGATAGAACGTTCTTGAGCGATTCAAGACAGTATACATGTAGATATCTAGAGCAAACCCTTGAGCGATTCAAGAGCTGCATATAAGATACTCATATATATAAGTAGTAAAGAAAACTTTTAAGCGATTTAAAAGCAGAGCGTTGCCTTGAGCGATTCAAGAGAGGCAAACTGACCACCAGACTTAAGCGATTTAAGAGCTGGCAAGACGAAACTCCTGAGCGATTCAAGAGCCTTGTAGAATCAAGAATAGACAGAAAAATTAAAGCAAAAGCAGTAAAATAATCAACAGATAAGTAAATAATATTACAGAAAAGTATTGGGGGGAAAATTCCCCAGGAATTAAAACCCAAATGGAACGAAATGAGGAATTGGAAATTACTAGCGAGTGAGAGCCCCCAATACTTAATATAAACTAGGTAATAATACAGTCTCATGCTTAGGGGAACATAAATC